TCGATCTCCTGACCTCGTGATCCGCCCGCCTCAGTCTCCCAAAGTGCTGGGATTACGGGCATGTGCCACCGCGCCCAGCCCTCAGATGAGTAAAAATCTTTAAAAGGAAAGAAATGGAGGCATTAATTCAAAATTTGTCACCTTTTTATTACACCAAGAATATTTTTAAAACATTAAAAAAAATTGGTTACATGCCGTCGCCAGTAACAACAATTGTATTCCACAGTCTCCTCTGGTTCATTTAAAAAAGGGCATTTAACAACAAAACGTAGAAAGGATATTATCTTAAAGTATTGTCATTTAAATGGAATACATTCAGTTGGAAAGAAAACTTGTTACATTTTTCTTTAAATAATGTATCTTATTTCCCCATTAACTATGCAACTGCTTCATGTAATGGCACTGGTTTGCTTTTTGCCTTCGGGAATGTGCTGTACCACGTTGTTTAAAAATTGAGATGAAATTAATGTAACATAAAATTTAAAGTGTATAATTCAGTGATATTGCGTATATACACAAATGTTTTTAGTTTGAAAACATTTTTATCACTCCCAAAGGAGACATCATACCCATTAGAGTCACTCCCCATTTTCCCTTCCCCCCTAGCCTCTAGCAACCACTAATCTGCTTTATGTCTCTATGGATTTACTTGTTCTGGACATTTTCAATAGACGGACTTACATAATATGTGATGTTTTGCATCTTCTTTCGCATAGTATACAACATTGAACATGTTGATTACACCTTGCTTGCAAATAACACATTATTGAGCTGGGCGCGGTGACTCATGCCTGTAGTCCCAGCACTTTGGGAGGCCGAGGCGGGCAGATCACAAGGTCAGGAGATCGAGACCATCCTGGCCAACATGGTGAAACCCCGTCTCTACTAAAAATACAAAAAATTAGCTGGGCGTGGTGGCGGACACCTGTAGTCTCAGCTACTCAGGAGGCTGAGGCAGGAGAATGGCGTGAACCTGGGAGGTGGAGCTTGCAGTGAGCTGAGATCTCGCCACTGAACTCCAGCCTGGGCGACAAAGCGAGACTCCGTCTCAAAAAAAAAAAAAAAGAAAAGAAAATACCACGTTCTCGTCATTTCCTTCCTACTACTCTGTCCTCTCCTTTGCTCATCCCCAAAATGTTAGTCTTTCTCAGGGTTCTGCCCTTGGCCCTCTTTTCCTACACACTCATCCTAGGTGTTTTGATTTGCTGCTGTGACTTTAATTATCATTATACAATAGTTACTCCCAAGTCTCTATTGAAAGACTTCTATGTCCCTCTATTAAGGGGACATCTCTACTTGGATATACGATAGGCACCTCACGCTTGACATACGCAACACTGAATTGCAGGTGACCTTCCCCAGCTCTTTGTATTTGGGAGCTCTTTGAGCTACCAGAGCATTCAGCACATAGCTCTAGCCCATCCTTTTATCACAGTATTATAAGTCTGCTTACTTACCTTGTGTTTTTGAAGCTGTGTGTATCTCTAGGTCAGGGATTACATCTTGCCCACAGTTGTATCCTGAGGGCCTGGTTTCATGTCTGGCATGTAGAAATGACACTTAGTAAATGTCTGTTCCATGAGTCTGTGAAGGTAGCACATTAATGATTATCATGTGTAACGAGTGGCAGAATACATTTATTGTATTTTTTTGTATTTAAAAATGCAGAGAATTGTCTAACTTGGCAATATATATTTTCACATTTCAGGAGCATTTAGATAGCACCCATGGTTCCGTCCATTCCTTAGATGCAGACTTATTGTTGCCAGCTGGAGATCCTTTCAGTAAATCGGACAATGACATGTTTAAAGATGGACTCAGGAGAGCACAGTCTACAGACAGCTTGGGAACTTCGGGCTCATTGCAATCCAAAGCTTTAGGCTATAACTACAAAGCAAAATCTGCTGGAAACCTGGACGAGTCAGATTTTGGACCACTGGTAGGAGCAGATTCAGTGTCTGAGAACTTTGATACTGCATCCCTTGGGTCGCTCCAGATGCCAAGTGGGTTTATGTTAACCAAAGATCAGGAGAGAGCAATCAAGGCGATGACACCAGAACAAGAAGAGACGGCGTCCCTCCTCTCCAGCGTTACCCAGGGCATGGAGAGTGCGTACGTGTCCCCGAGTGGTTATCGTTTAGTTAGTGAGACAGAATGGAATCTCTTGCAGAAAGAGGTGAGTTACCTTTCTCACGTTTTTCCTCTTGCTCACACTGAGGCACACTGGGGAGCTCTGGGATTTATCGTTCATTCGGCAGATGGTTCCTGGAGTCAGTGCAGGCACATGTTGCCAGCAAGTGGATGTTAACCTGTGTCACCTGACCCTTGTCATAGTCCGCTTCGGCTATTCCAGGTAATTGTGACAGAGAAAGGAGCTAGCTAGCTTATCACAGTGAATGTGAACTTCCTCACCTGAACTCACAACTCTCAGGTTGGAGCGATCTGCCTGACTAGCATTGCTGAATTTAAGTTAGAGCAACCTGAATTTGGTTTGCTTTGCAGTTTTCTATAATCTCAGTGTATTCCAGGATTCAGGCTTTCATCTTTCCTTTAGATCAAAAGCGCAATTGCTTGTCTGCTGTTGATGCTGAGAGTGGGTTTAAAGAGGGGTTGGGAATATGGGAGAGAAAAGAAGCCAATCTTTAATGAAGTCGATTTTCCTTCTTAGAGAATTTGTAAATTTACAGATAAGATTAGGAGATAAACCCTTAGATATTTGCCTAATGCTTTATGGATTACAAAGGCCTTTCACACACCTGATCTCTTTAAGCTTTATGATTATAATGAGGCAAGTGGGGCATGGTTATCCCCAATTTACAGGTGAGAAAACTGGCTGGGAAAGATAAAGCGAGTTGCTCAAGTGTTCCCTTCGACTTAGTTGCAAAACCTGACTCCTGGGGCTTTCCTTGACTGAGGGCTGCTTCCCTTTAAGGAAGCCATGGGTCAGTAAGTGGAACAGCTTACTGAGGCCTGAAAGAAAGTATTCTCGTTGGTCTTATGTAAAACATATGTGCCAAGGTGCTATTTACTAGTTTCATACCTATTTTATACTTGGAGCTGGTGAAACGGTGACTTGGCACTGTCTTTATTTGTTTTTCCTTCCCAGTGGTTGGTTAGTATTGAACTGTGAGTACCATGGTATAGTACCTTTTACTTGCTTTGTGTTGTCCTCAGATGTGAGGTTTTGTGTCTCTTGGCAATAAATTGTGTCCCATGTGTCCCGTCATACTTGTACTGGAGAGTTTGACATTTTAGAATCTGACCCTATATTGTAACTTTTTGCCATAAGGCCCTGAAGAAAGTGTTAACTTCATATTCTACTGAGCACCTTTGGTAAGACTGTGCACGTGTACCTCAAGTGTGTGATGTAGATTTATTTTGTTTTGCCTGATAAGAAGTAATTTTGGTGCCCTTCAGGTGCATAATGCTGGAAATAAACTTGGTAGACGTTGTGATATGTGTTCCAATTACGAAAAACAGTTACAAGGAATTCAGATTCAGGAGGCTGAAACAAGAGACCAGGTGAGTTTCTTCTGGATGTGCCAAATTGGGTATCTATTGTAGTTTTCGTTGGAGGTGCAGAATTAATTGCCTCCCCTCCGCCCCCAGCCCCATTTACATTATGAAGCGTATCCATCTTGTTAAGTTATGAGGTAACCTGGTACATGCAATGGCAGCTGCTTTTCCAGTGGAGCTCACTAGGACTCTGCTTTTGTGTATCTGCACAGGCTAGCCCAGCTCTTAAAGGGACACTGCCTCATCTCCTCTACCCCTGCCCCTTCCGTCTAAGGCCTAAAAGTGATTTTACGGACATGGAAAGTACTTTATGATGTGGAGATCTCAGGGAGATAAAAGGTTGATTGTTGCCTCTAATAGAATAAAGGCTTAATTGAATGCTAATCAGAATTTGTGTCCTTCATTGCTTATTGCTTACTTGTCATAAATTTGTTGAATTAAGGTTAATAAGTTCACAGAAATTAAGCTTTGGTAGATTTGGTATGCTGAGATTGATAAATCTTCAGTACCTTTTCAAACGCAGTGTTTAATAATGGGTACTTTGATAGCATTTAGGAAATAATGTAGAAATTCATAAGAGTAGGCTTGTAAAAGTGTATGTAAGAAAGATACATTTCCTTGTATTTCCAAATTGTTCTTTGGTTGTTATGAAGATTATTGCTAGTCTTCAAAATAACTTTAAGCAGGTTAGAATGATGGTTTAATATTTTCAAATGTCATCGCTATGGAGTTCCTTCATACACTGTGTGCTTTACTCATCGATGTTTCAAAGGTTAACTTCTAAAGGTATTTGCAGAACTAATGTAGCTGGCCCCTGGTGGTGTGGTGTAGCAGTGGTTTTCACAGACATTTCAGTAGACTGTTTTAAGGCCTGGCTAAAAATTAGTCAGAAAAAGAAGTGGGAAAAGGGTGTTCATGGAGAGAAAAGATGTACAAAGAACAGAGTTAGGAAAGAAAATGATGTATTCTAGGAAGTATGAGTAGTTATGTGGCTGGGCACAGGGGGTGATTGTCACAAAATAATGGGAGAGTAAACTACAAAGACCATGATGGGAGCAGTGATGGCTGAAGAGATTTAAATTTTACCCTGAAGCCGGGTGCGGTGGCTCA